AGGGGAGAAAGGGAAAAGAGGGGGGGGGGGGGGGGGGGGGGGGGGGCGTACTCATTTGTTGCTTGCCGTAGTCATTTGACCATTGACCACGCGTCCCTTTCGAGACGGAGCACCGTTCCTACCCCTACTAGAGACACCACCAACATTTGGGAGCTCTTTACGTTTCTGCCACAAACTACATAAAAATTTCTTGCATATCTTATCCCCGTCCTCTAGGGCCTCTTGTGCCCACCATCTATCCCCAATTATCGCGATCGTTTTTTCGCTGTTGTCTAATGTACCAAACTTGTCCATGTCACACCCTCTCTGTCTCATTTCCTCCTCGAGATCCTCTCTTTCCTTCCTGTACAACTCACACTCCCCAACTATGTGGGGTCTACTCTCCTCCGATTTGCCACATGGACATGTGTGTCTATCCTCCTCTTCCTCTTTCCTACGGCTGGTATACCTCTTCCTCCGTTCTGGCAAGTCCAGATCGCTTACTCGAAATTGCAATTTCAGTTTTTTGGGGTAGTCAGGGGGGGGGGGGGGGGCATGGAGAGGATGTACGCAAAAGCCTTTCAGGAAGGTGTCTTGAACTTCCACCGTTTTACAGCGGGATGTTAGCGAGAGTATTGGACGTAAACTACGTGTATGCCAGTGTCCGGATTCTGCTAACGCATGCTTCTGCGGCTGTGGGCTTGCGCGAGTTCCTGGCTACGCCATGTAGGGCAGAACGCCATGCGAGCATGCCTCCTACGCGTGCGTAAGTGAGACAGAATCATGGAACAACCAATACACCCAGGAATAGGTTTCCTTCAGGTGATCATGCCGCCCGTTTCTATCGTGAGGTATATTTTGGAACAAGCTCCACTGCGAAGGCGCGAATAAAAACGAACCATCGAAAACCGCTCTCCAACGGCAGCACATCGTGTTGGTTGCGTTACATCTTGCTACCCTCCCTGTCCAGCACTAGGTGTCCAGGAACGCTTCATCCCGCCGTGCCCCCATAAGACATGGCTACAGGGTCTGACAAAACAAGATAGAGATTCTCTTTCAACAGACAATTTCACCAGCAGCAACAGCAATAGATACGACAGGGGGCTCGTTCGGGGAACTCACGAGTCCTTGTCGTCCACGCCTATTCGGCATTTGACCGTGACAGGCGTTCGTGTGACCTTACGAATCATGCCGTATGTGATCTCTCTCACTCGCTCTGGGTCCTGTTGGGCGGTTCCGCGGTACACCGGGGTACGGGGTGGGTGGGGGAGGCGAGGAAGTAGTTTTGAGAAACCGGAGACACACGAACAGAAAGAGAGAGAGAGAGAGAGAGAGAGAGAGAGAGAGAGAGAGAGAGAGAAAGAGAGACTTAAGGAAGACAAACACACAATCTAACAGGACGACAGGCCGACAGAAACTTAAAACAGACACACAGGCAGACAGACAGACAGACAGACAGACAGACAGACAGACAGACAGACAGGGACAGTGCTAGGAAGCGATGGGGCAACGTGCGTACACGTCACGAGTGTTCTTGTCTAGATTAGATCGAGCATTGTTTGATGCGCGTGCCCGTTGCGACCGTCGCTGGCCGCGTTCCATCTTCCCGGTCTGTGTTGTACATGGGGACAGTACACGGACCTCTTGAGGCTCAGCCAGTTGTTGAAAACGTCTCTGCTATAAACAGGAACAAGCCGTAGGTGACAGAAGATATCACACCTCCTAGACACGTTTTCAAATCTCGATTGCTCCGCGACGAAGAGGACGCACATCGAATAAACCAACGAAATATTCTCCGAAAGCTCTTGAAGGGACGGTACCAACGCCGCAATTTTCGGCACCACCAGTGTTTCTGCTGTGGAGTCATCGACCATTAGAAATCGGCCCCGGGGGTGCTATATCTTATGTCAGCTGCGGTTGTACCCTTCACTACAGCGCTGCAGGCACTTGCACAAATTCACAGCGACGGAAGGAAGCCAGAATGACCGCTGGCAGCAAGCGACACCCACCTACAAGATTCTTGACCAAACATGAGATTTTCAGCACGTCCTCCGAAAATAATTTGATTGTCTCTTCTGTGTGTGACATTTGTGTCGGGTGTCGTGACGGACGGAATGTCAACGCACGCGGACAAACGTGCGTGCTCTTACTCATGCCGAGATCAACCCACGTGAACCGACAAGTCAATACGAGGCAGAGGATGAAGGGCATTGGAATCGACCCATCGGCAGCAGACCGAGCCGCACAAAATCAACCTCCCCGTCATCAGACCGAGCAAGCGAGGACTAGCTTGGCGCGGAAGCGAAGTTTTTTGCGGGAAAACCTCTCACCAGCATCAAGCGCGCGCCGAAGCAGCGGTCGGAGACCTTGGAGCTCGGGCAGCCGCAATTGAGATTGATCTCGGAGAATGCCCACTGCTCGCACATCTCGGCCGCCTCCGCAAGCGTGTCGGGGTCGTTCCCGCCGAGCTGCCGTGCGGAACGGCGCCGCGCGTTGTGAGGGAGTTGTGTCACGCATGCGTAAAAGAGAAGCGCGCACACGTGCGGAAGACGGAGAAGAGGGCTTGGACTGGGAGCTTGAAGCGTCTATTTATATAGGACATTGATCAGGCGCCCCAGCTGAGATCTAGCACGAGTACTCTTATGACCGTGGCCACGTAAGGTGCATTTACTTACCTGGACAGCCAGCGGCCCCTCCGCAGCCCGGTGGGAGAGAAAATTATGAAGGTTATCCTGCTGGTGAAGAAGCGTCTTGTCCACGTACATCTCGGTGTAGAGCTTGGAACGTCGACTAAGCTGGCGAAATAGGTAGCTTTCCAGACAGCAGCAAGTGGGGAGGAGGACTGGGGATCGGACGACATACTTGGGGTTGGTCTCGAAAACGACGCGTAGTTTAGCCCCTGGAACGAGCTCATCACCCTTCGGCATCTCTGTCGCACGCCAGTGCGATGTGCTGGAGAGGGGGGACTGGCACGTCAACTCGACCAAAAAATCTTGCATCGTGTAGAAGCCAAATCAACGAGCTTTTAACATCACCACCCCGTAAACACCTAATAGTTTATCATACTACTCGAATGGGTAGTCTTTCTGTGTGTGTTTTTATTATTCCTTAATACTACTCTACCAGCCCGAGCGATTTCGCAAAATTAAGTCGTAACATGGCGTGCGAGTTAACACCGCGGGGTGTATGCGTCACATGCTGCTCGCGTTGATATTGGTAGTGATCATCCGTGAGGGGGTGCTAAAAACCTGAAGAGAGATGCCTCGAAAGCGACTCATGTTCCAAGGCTGAGAGGTATGCATGGCCGGCAAGACGAGTTCCTGCAAGCACTTCGTGGGCGCCCGGTCTGTACCTCCCCATGGTGTCATTTCTCAACTACCGTAAGAGGCGGAGGGATGCTCCCCCCAAAAACCGATTTTCAAACCTCGATTGCTCCACAACCACGCTCGTTCCAACACCAAAAATGGTGTTTTGGGAAACATCTCGTCGAGGGCTTCCGCATCGACTCTTTCTGAACCCCGTGATTGTAGAGTAATATCGAGCTTTGAAAGTCGGTCTACAGTAGGGGGGGTGCCATCTCTCCGACTCTTCGGTATGTACCAGTACCCAGCCGGTTTCCCTCCATTCACTGTAAAGACTTCAGCACATCCCGTTCGACTGTGGAATGAGTAGTCGTTCTGTGTTTGTATTTATGTTTCCTAATGTACCGAAGCTCGGGTTTCTCTTGGCCACCAGGCCGCGCGAGCTGCTGAGACCATGACAAGCAGTGTGTTTCTCGGCTGTAGCGTCAACATGAGGATTCCTTCTACTGAGTAACAACCATCGCTCGTACGTCAGTCGTCGGAGGTGATGGCAACAGCACGAATGGTTGGGATCCATGCATACAATACCGGAGAGTTGATTGTTTGGTCATTGGTCATGGGTCATGGGCCATGGAGACAGTGCAGAAGCGGCGGAATTGACGGGTGGTGAGCTTAGTTCAAATAATCCTGCGTTCTCTGACTAAAAAAACATCGCACACAGCCGTGAAATCTCACCGAAAGTATCGGTCTGTCACCGCCATCATTGGAGCCACCGAAAATCGATGAGCGTTCGAGTGATCCATCATCCTTCGATGGGTGCTGTGCAATGGACGGGGTGCAACGTACGCAACATGGGACGGCAAAATGCGGCGGGTTTGGGAGTTCCACGTCTCCACGTCATCGCGTCGTTCGGGTGCGGGGAGAGAACGAGATCGAACCGGTACTTCAGGAACTCCGAGATGCCGAGAGGTAGGTTTGCCCGTGCTTAGGTCTTGGGCGCTCTCTCACTGTCGCGGGCACTCTACGTAGCTAGCTCGTGTGGAATGCTTGGATGGATTTTGTTGATGACGGGTGCGTGTTGTCCACCACCGAGCACCGACAGAAGTAGTCGTGGATGCAAGTGAAGTCGTGCGGTGCGTCGGTCTGGGGCAAGAAGTTGCCGTGTGAGAGAACTTGCGCGTGTTGCAGTGTGCAGGGGGAGGAGAAGCTACACAAGGACGGGGAGGGGCGACCTCTTCAACGTGCTGCGATGAAGCACCCTTCATCAGACGAGATTGAAGGCGTGAAGTTGGAGGTCGAAGATCGATACAGGGTGCTCGGCGCCCTGGGCCACGGATCGTTTGGGATTGCGGTGGCGGCCTCGGAACACCCAACGGGCAGGAAACTAGCCATCAAGCGGATCCGCCCTCTTCCCGATAGCCGCTCGAGGGCGCGACACATCCTTCGGGAGATCACAACCATGAAGCTTCTTCGACACTACCCTAACGTAAGATTGGAAAGACGTCACAAGAAATTAAGGATGAGAAGTTACATAGAAGTACAACCGACCGATGGATTCGGGTGGGTGTTTTCATGCGCATGCATGAACAAGATAGACTTTTCTCTGGCTCGGCGCTATGCTTTGGACGCATGTGTGGGTAGTGTTGAAGACAGGTGATGCACACTACAGAGGATTGTTTTGGTCGAACGGCAGTAGCTTTTTCTACACGCAGAGACTGCGCTCTGCGTTTGGGTACTTCAAGCCGGCCAGCGTGCGCTGGACCAGTTTTCATGTGGGAGTCCGGGACATGTACGAGTATGCATGCTTGCAACACATTCTCCAGCCGCGACCCTACTTGAGCACAAAAGGGGAGCAACTGCAACAAACTTTTCTGCAGGTTGCACAAACTCGTGCAACTTCCTCCTTCAGAAAATCCTGACAGCAGATGCATGGTCTGCTTACTAAACCATCTTATGTTCGTTCGATCACCGGTAGTAGAGTACACCTGTAGTACGTGTCCAATCTGTTTACACTTACCAGGTACTGGCACCGTTTTCCCGAAAAAATGATAACAACGTGGCGTCGCCGCCAGATCATCAACCTAGGGGACCTTCGTGTGAGCACCACTTCCGGCACGCTTTACATTGTCATAGAGCTAATGGAGTGCGACCTTCAGAGGATTCTAGCCTCCGGACAGGTTCTGACCGTCGAGCACGTCAAGGTGATACTGAAGCAGCTGCTGCTTGGAGTCCAAGCCATGCATCACCATGGCATTTTACGTGAGCGAGCCCCCCTACATTTCTCTCTGTCGGCTTATCTCTTAGTATCCTTGTGTGATCTATCATGGGTTTCTGTGTATCCCAAGCATGCGGTAGCGGAGGCTGACACCCACACACGTTAGTCGATGAGATAGCTCGTAGAGCTTGTAGCAGCAGAAGTACAGCAGCAGTACTTTAGGGCAGAATATTAGTCCCGAAGTCGTCGAGATGATGTCCCGTGGGGATGTAGTGGATGGTGATTGCTCCTTCATTCACCAGCCTCGACAAGAATCGTAATGTGATGTGCTTCGTACGGGAACTGACGTAGAGGGTGGCCGTGTTGTCAACGTGCGAAGCACTGCACGAACTGTTTTCCGAACCGTACCTCAGTCATCAAGTTGGAGCAAAAACCTGCTTCCTTCATGGCAGATGCCGCAGCCACCAGCTCTGCGTCCATGGTTGACATTGCAGTTGGCTTTGGGTTCCCGTCTTGAAGCTCACGGGAGACTTCGACATCATGATGAGTTATGCTTAGGCCGATTGCCCGTCGTCCGGGTTCTTGCCCCAGCTGCACCCGAAAATGCAGTTAGATTTACCCTCCTCGCTTGTTCGTTATGTTTAAGTCCGTTGTTCCAGCAATACACAACACAGCGTTCTCCACAGCACCCATGTGGGCGTTGGCTGGCTTGGACATTGCGCGTGCAAGCTGGCTCGTGGAGTACATGACATCGCACCGTGTGATTTGCGCTAGATACATGGTCGACACGGTAAATGGTTTATCTCTTTGTTTCCTCCTTGTTGAGAAGAATCTCAACCAGCTGCTCCGTGGACAGCTCCGAACCAAACCCAGGGATAGCCGTGGGCATGCAGTTTTCCATCCCACGCCGCGCAAGAAAGGATTTGATGTGGTCTTCCAAGGGTATGGTGATAATCATATCTCAAGCAGATGACACCCGGTCCATTCTTGCACGG